CTGATTCCGCACCAGAGGAATACAAGAAACTTGCCGAGCAGTGTTGTGATGCTGATCCTGATAAGCGTCCAGATGCACTGACACTTGCTAATCTTATTTATGAGATTGACGAGGACAATTCTGATAACAACACGTGGAATACCATCTATCATAATTATGTAAGGCCTTTATCACGTCTCGAGAAGGAGAATAAATATTCTAGCACGCTCTTACCTACTGGAGATCTGCCTAAACCAAGAAATAGTAATAGCTAGGATCTGCAGGTATGAAGACAACAATTGGTTATTAATGAAGTCAATCTAAAATATTAACATCGTCCACTGCGTATGATTTAGCGACTCAAACACCCTTTGAATAAACTCGTAATTCACGGGTTATTTACGTTTTATTCAAGGGTTTACTCTCTTCCAATTAAGTGAATTAAATACTATATCTTTCCATGTATGTCAATACGAGTTCGAGTTAAAAATAAAATCGTGCATGTTACTGTTAACTGCCCTTTGCCGGGGTATTATTTGAATAAAATATAGAGTACATTATTTAAAGTTTATGAAATTAGTAACGAGCTTGACGCTAATCGTTCCTGAATAAAATACGTAGCAACATTCGAGCTCAGTTCGAAGCCTCATTGTCAATCTCGGCACCAGCCGTGCTTCCTAACGTTGTTTCATACCAACCCATGCAGTCGGCCAATAAAGTAATGGATAATGTTATTTAAGGCTTTGATAGACGCGATAAAAGCAGATCCCACATCTGCTCGAAATCCTCCCATTGAAGAATATGTCTGAAACTCCTATAAGGACTAAAATCTTTGGTCATTATGCGAATGATGAATCATCAATCCGAAGATCTTTTCACAATATTGTAACAATGCAAGTTTAACGGCATCCAATAATAGAAATAAAATTGCCATACACGTGTGCCAACCATAATGGTCCGTTCATATCAACTGTGTGAAATAATGTTTGGTCTACGCCATGCTTAACCTCTGGCCGATCGTCTGAGCAAATACTAGCTAGTTGCAACAATAATAACATCCATTGTTCTTGGGTTAAGATCTTTTCGATGATTTGTTCAATATCGCGGATCGAAGAAGCATTCTTGGTATATCATCATCCGTTTGTGGACCGACCCGCAATCTTTTCTAAGTCTGCTCTTTTTGTCTGAATACATTCCATAACAAGTAACAGTTGCAGGACTAATATTCAAATCACCCATCTGTTGCCCAAATAGACCGTCATCTTTGTACTTGATGCACGGAACTGCAGTCTCACTTTCGACTTGAATGATCACTAATTTCATCTTCTCTATCCCTCCATGTGAGCAGGACCAACGTGTACAAAGTTCGAATGAGGTGTTCTGTCTTTATAAAGCAATTCTCGGGCTTTAAAAAGAAGAAAAAATTAGCAAAAGACAAATAACCAAGACAAATTCATAAAAGCTCGATGAAAGAAATACCGCGATGTGCGACGTAATGGTTACCCTAACATCCATAAGTAAGCGAGTGTCCCGACGTCTGAAGCAATTTATTCAGTCTCCAAGCTTTTCTACGTAGGAACCTTTAGCACTATCTGAAGCTGCATTTGTCTTTTCCCAATCCAATTTCGCTAGCATACAACATTGCCAAAGTTATAATGCTATCCATTGATTCACAGGTACAGGCTTGGGTGCGGATTTGATGCCGATGGGTGATTAGCTTGCTATCAAATGAAATATTGCCAAATCCCAGGCCAAGAAATTTGCGCGCGCGATCAAACGAGGCATATTGAGTAGCGAAACGAGGCGTGTTTTTCAAATAGCAAACGAATTCTCGTCCGATTTCTAAAGATTGATTATATAATATTACTTTTACCGCTAGATAAAGAAGCCGAAACAAATCACATTCCCTCGTAAAGCAATTAGCTGTGCTGATTAATATCCCTGATTTTCATTCCTTTCGTAGTCACCTTTCAATAAGAGTAGAGTTTACCGGTATTCTACTGCAAGAGCAGTCAAGCGATACAAGGCGTGGTATAGACATGGTAATAGGACGAAAATTTGACATGAATGAATTATTAGTGTAACTTATACTTTTAGTCTGACAATTTAAAGACTAAGCTCTATTTATTTTTTTGTACACTGATCTGCTGTTGATCTGTCATGCTTTAGGAAAGGCGCTAACTATATTTCGTATTTTTTTATGTGCAAAGTCTGGCTGTTTTCATATAGATCTAGATCTAGATCTAGATGTAGAACAAGAACTAGAACTAAAACTAGTTGAACTTGAACTTGAACCGGCTCTCATTTTTCGCCTCCGTACCCACATTCTTTTTAAACAAAAATATTTTTAATCTTGTGTATCGTTGCTCTAATAACATATATTAAATATTTTCTTGTTTAATTAATCTGTTTCATTTTATTCAAATTTTTTACTTCTTCTAATTAACGCTTTGATATTTGTTAAAACGTCAGCGCTTTATATTAATTATCATTTTAACTTGTTAAATAGTACATAAAAGCGTCAATGAAATTGCCGTGTTGTAACGCTTTGAGTTGTGTTAATTTAGTGTCAATAGTAAATAAATTAAATAATAGTGAAATTAATCGAACTTATTGCACTCTTCAACTAAGGAGTATCGTAAGTTGTTGTTCTGGTAATAGTGCTGAACCGAAGTACCTATTGCTTAAGCCAGCTTACGGAAGATTAACATCTAGCAGCTAGCTGTAAATTATGCGTACGCTGTAGTATTAGTGTTGTGAGGTTTTTTATTAAATAGTTTAACACAACACACAAGTGAGTTTATATCGCGATAAGTAACATAACGAGCTGCCCGCAAGATTTTAGTTATGCCTTAATTGCAGTATATTCAAGATAATAAAATAAATAGCGTATATTATTACTGACCACACAGCTTTATGAAAGAAAAAAAGACTTGTTCAACAAACATATACTAAATGTGGGAATAGAACTTAGAAAGACATGTGAATCAAATTATTTGGTTCTGGTATTTATTTTGCAACAGAGTCTAGTCACTTTTGTGTTGCCAGTCAGTATCTTCGAACTTGAGTTTTTGGTAAGTCAGCCTTGAAGATTATCTTAGTATTCCTTTTGTTAATATCTGATTGTTCTTTAAATGTATGCTTGTCAATTGATAAACCTTTATTTATTATTGGTTCAATGTCTAAATAACCTGAATTAAACCCAACACAATTGATTTTAGAAAATTGACTGTGAACCCAACAATTTAAACGCCGGTCTTATCTTAGCAGTTTAAGTTACATTTTCTATAGTAATTGTCTTTAGTTGATGCTGAGATTTTGCAACCCAAAATACAATTTTTGTTCAAAGTTATATCCCCAATTCCTGTAAACTTTAAGTGAAATAAATTCCAAATTGTATGCTACCTAGAAAGTACTACTATTTAAAATCAGATGCAACTTTAAAATTTGCAAATAGGGGAGGCTTTTTATAGAAATTAGTAATCAGCAACAAAATAAAAAAATTTTACGTTTTTTTTTACACTTGCAATGCGTTTTCGAGAGAATCAACATCAGTAACACATCCAATAAACATGGTTATAAGATTTTCTACTAATTGCTAATCCCCTGAAATTTATTCACTCGGGTTAGCATATTCTAGTATTGATTTCTTTGTAACCGAATTTTTTTTCGCAATAATAAATGTTCTTCGGCGTAATTGATCAATGTTCTTGTATAGTTAAATTATAATAGATAAAAAATGTGTGTGGTAAGGATTGTATAATAATAAAGATACCAGCTGGTGAAAACAACGATACCCGTAGATACCACGATATAAAGCCTATAGAATTGTCAATTTGATATTTCAGTCTAAATCTCACTCAAATTTCTCTGGTTGTTAAGCTTAGTAACAAATACTCTATTGTTCGCATGTCATTAATTAACAATCGCGTAAAGCAAAAAGGCAACAACATATAAGTAATATGCTTAGAGAAAAATGGCCGTTATTTATTTCAAAAGTCAGTCGTCGCTAGGGAAACTATCAATGAAGAAATGGATGTCACCGAACGAATTGAAGAATGGGACAGAAGATTTAATAGAGTTTGAAGAAGTAGGGAAGCGACTTACCAACGAAGTTCTCACTGGGCTGTTACTAAGTTTAAATCACATTGCAGATTACTTCAAAGCGTTGAAAGAATTATAGAACATGAAAACGGAATATAAATAGTTTAATATTTCGTAATTGCATTGTCTATCAAATAAGGATCGTCGCCAGAAAATTGAAACGATTTTCGCGTTATGGCTTCCGGCACCATAGTAATATCAATAATGACGATATTTCTCTCTAATTTTCGAGAACAATTTTATCGATTTGGATAAAAATGACAGTGGTACGCGTAGCTAATAATAGACAGAAATGATATTAGTATTACTATTGTTATTCGTTTAAGTGGAAGTGCATTTTAGGTATGACCAACCTATAAGCTTTCTAATTAGTCCCATCGGAAGGAAATAGTCGATTAATGTTAACTCGAGCGCGAATAACCGTCTAAGAATTAGTGTCTACCGATCGACACAAGGTCGTGAGTAGTTTACATGTCACTAACAGTCGTATTTGACTAAAAGTAGGAGAAGGCACGGTTCCGTTCGAATCCCAAGGAATAGTAAACCTTACGACTTATATTTAATGGTGACGTCGATAGAGAGCAAGCATATAACAAAAAAGGAACAATATAACAAATGCCTTAAAATATACTCAAAGAAAACAATGCAATTTGGAAACTTTAGAAAGATAATTTTGATTAGTTAATCGTATAGCAAAGTTTCTTTTAATTTAATAAACCTTGCAGTATCATAATAAACTTTGTTGTATAATAAGTTTATCCAAGCTTCATTGCTTTATTTTTGATACTTCGTTCACCACTACATAGCACTTTGTATATAATAATAAATTTCGTTTAAATAAGACGTGAATTTCACCGTTGTAATAGTTATTTCGAGCTACAATATATAATAAAATTATCTTAAAGTTGGATACAAAACAGCAAATACTGTAATACTTTATTTATCGCCAGACAATAACAGTTCTGGAAATTCTCAACTAACTATTTTAGAAGACAGAATTAGGTTGACCCTAATGTTCCCTGACAAAAATATGAGAAAAAGAAAGTGATATTAAAGCAATCGAGTTAATCAAGATGATGTTTCTGACATTTGCTTCTTATTATCTTCGAGACTAACGGATAAATTTTGATCTGCTACTAAGCGAATCAGTAAATATTTGGGTTTATTATTACGACATGCATATTCAAATGAATAAAATAAATGGTTGTTGCTAACCATAAAACTTTACAAAAAAAAAAAAAGACTTGTTCAATAAACATACGTTAAATGTGCAAACAAAACCTAGCACAACATCCAATACATCAACAATGGGTCATGTGGGTAAACTATTCGGCTTCCGTATTTATTTCGCAACGGAATCCAGTCACTTTTGTGTCGCCATTCAGTATCTTCGAAGTCGAGTTTTTCTAATTTTGGTAAGTCGGCCTCGAAGATTGATCCGAGTCCTCCTAATATCTGACAGTTCTTTATGTGTATGCTTGTCAATTGATGAAACTTAATTGGTTCGATTTTTAAATCATCTGAATCGAAGCTAACTCCTTCCAAAACAATTGATTCCAGAAAATTCGACTGCGACTCCAACAATTTAAACACTGATCCCATCTTGGCGGTTACGTATTTTATAGTGATTGTCTTTAGTCGATGCTGAGACTGTATGAGTTTTTGCAATCCATGATGCAATTCTTGTTCCAAGTTATATTCCTGGTTCCCGTCAATTTCAAACGAAATTGATTTTAAGTTCTTTGCAACCCGGGAAAGTGTATTGAATGTGGTGCTACTTAAACTTGAATGCAATTCTAAAGTTTGCAAACGGGGGAGGCTTTTTATAGAAATTAGCAATTGTCCCTGATAAGTAATAAAACCTTTAAGAGAAAGAGTTTTGAGATTAGGGCAATACTTAATTGCCAAGCGAATGATCTTGACTCGCACATCATCCGAATCGAATCTGGTGCTCCTTCTGGTCAATGCGAAAATCTCTTTGCAGCAAATCTCCTTCAAGTAAAGACTGTAATCAAACGGGAACTTTTTGCTATATTTTTTGCACAATCGCATTGTGTTCTCGAAAGCCTTGATATCAGTAAAACATTCAATGAATGTTATTATAAGGTTAACTGATCTGCTGGTTCTCCTCCTTGGATTTGGAAACAACAACGTGAAAGGTTTGGCCCATAAGCGTTGAAGAGCTACTGCACACCAGTCTCTGTTAACTAAAATACAAGAATGAAGTGTAGAGGGATCGTCTGCACACTCGTCAAAAACCATCGCAAGAAGCTCGTGAGGCAAAGAAGCCATGTTTCAAAGAGACGGAAAGACAGCTTATACGGAAAAACCGGCTAAAAAGTTCGTCGCGAAAAGAAAGTATTATTATTGTTGTTCACAGGACCAAAAAAAGGGGGGGAAAGCAGGAGCGTAATCTGATCGTTAACCCCTGTAATATTTCTACGTCACCTTATACGTTTGCCCCGGACAATTACAGTAGGAACTATTACCCAAAATGGTATAGAAACACGATACAGAATATTCTTGATTCTAAAGTTTTCCATGCCAAAGGGCTATTTTTATTGGATATTTGAACACAAACAATTTCTGTTTAGACATATTGGCTTCGTCTTGTGCAATTGCTTCTCGTTGGTAATCTGTATTGGTCTAAATAAGGAGTTGGATCATTATTATGATGAACTTCAATAACGTATTCCTGTCAAGTCATGCAATATCAATTACTTCTTGCACGCGCTTGTTCTTACTACGATATCATAAATCCCGCTGTTTGGTTAGATTTCCATTGCTTTACATTACTCTTCATACAATGCACGAATCGCAAACCGCATTATCAAACACCTTCTGTAATCGTTCCTTTAAACCTTCTATTTCATTCCTCTGATTCTGCATATGTGTATTTATATTAACTGATTGTTGAGGTCAGCTATTAACTGTGACTTCTGCTGATTTTCCAATTGACAATGCTCCAGAAGTATTCTAACTTTGATAAGTTCAGCAACTAATTAGCGGGAACGTTAAATTGTCGTCAGTACTAAGGTGAAGTCTTTTCTTATCTTGAACGGACCTATTTAATGTTAGATGTTGGCAAAGTTGATTCGTGGCAATGGTCCGGTTCTACGTTTTTCGCAGATTGACTAAGATTCTAAACAAGAATCAAGGTTAGTAAGTTCACAAAATAATTGTGATAGAAAGCGAGTCGTTTGGCTGTCTCTGAAATACTAGCATGCCGCCATTTTTGCGATTCCTTCGTTTCGCATGGCTTTAATCCGACTTCACTATACTTTTTAATTAACTCTGCAAAGATACAGAGATCTTTACTCTTGCTTTCACGTTAACGGACACTAAGAAATGTCATTTGGGTGTTGACATAGTGAAATTACTGTGTCGCTAGTAGCAAATCTAGAGAGATCTAATTTACTTTTCCAATAAGAGCTTGGCGCGAGGGATTATTAAAACTAGACGTCTTTTACAGATACGGACAAGGAAAAATCTGCGAGAGCCAATCACATTTCAAGAAATTCCTGCAGTTTCTATATTAAAGTCCTGCAAATAATAAAAACTTTTTGCAGACCGCTTTTTGGACATTACGTATCATTTTCGGTGATATATTTTTGCGAAACAATTGAGGCATATCCTAAAATTTAAAAGCCGTCATTTTCATATAATTTTTTTGTATCGTATAGAAATAAAACCACGCCACAAGCCATCATCTTATCCAGTTAGTACCATGCTTTGAAACAGTTGTTTGGATATAAATAGTTTGGGAGAAAAATCTTGCCTTCTATATATACATAATAAGAAAAAACAAGCCTTTTTTGCTTTCAACAAATAATGACTGACGCTTTCGCCAAGACAGTGATTCTAAGCATACTAGTCGTGTTAGCGAAATGTAGAGAAACGGCAACCAAAAAATCTCGGCATTTATTGCTGAGGAATGGGATCATATTCCAGACGAGGATGTTGTGAAGCAATTATTGAGAAAGATGGTGAACGATTAATTTTAATAAAATTGCAGGTTTTACAAATTTACAGTAAATGAGCTATTAATTTTGCATTGATAATTACAGAGTTATTACAAAATTACGGAAAGCAAGTTTTCTCTTTCGATACTGCATATAAATTGCTTTAATTTATACCGAAACACACAGTCGTCCATTGCACTGTTGTGGGAGCCTCTACGCTCTCTAGTTTATCTTTCGTTGGCGAAATTTAGGGAGCCATCCATTTGATACTGAAAAGTTCTTGATTCCTCATAATTTACGCGTTTATCTTAAATTATCTAATCCGCCCGCTTCTTCAATCGTAAGAAAATAACTCTTGCTTTGTGATGCATATATTTTATTCCGCGTTATGTGTCAATTTGGGATGGTCAGACAGATGCGACACAATAACACAATGACAAATTAAGATGTCAACTCCCATTGCAAAACTCGTGGCTTCCTTTTTTCTGACACGGCTTTTTTTAGGAGACAACAGTAAGTGTTCTTTGCGATTATTGACATAGACATTTCGTGTCTTTGTGAGAACTTTTTTGGAAGCTTTCGGTCTTTATGAATAATAGATTGAAAGATTGTTATATCGATAATTTGATCAGTCAATCGTATTTAATAGACTTTGCGATATCATGATGAACTTTGTTGTAAGACAAGTGAATTGCTTTATTTGATACTTTGTTCACCACTATATGGCTCTGTGCACATAAATTTTTGTTTATCCAAAATTATTCTTGTTATAGCAAAAAAAGTACCAAGTACAAGTAAGGTGTGAATTTTATGTGTAACAGTTATTTCGAGCTATAATAAATTGTCTCAAAGTTGGATGCAAATACTGTAATCTTTACTCATCGAACGGTTCAATATAGTTTGTTATGCTAAATGCATTCTTCTGGAAATTCTCAACCGACTATTTTAGAGGACGGATTTATGTAGTTTGACTCTAATGTTTCTTGACAGGAAGGAACCGATTTTGCTATGAGATGAGAAAGAGAAAGTGATATCGTTCGTTAATCAAGATGGCTTTGCCTCCATTGACTTCTTACTATCTTCAAGACTAACGGATAAATTTTAATCTGCTATTAAGCGAATCAATAAATGTTGGCGTTTTATTATTACAAGACACACGTATTCAAAGTGAATGAAATAGCTGACTGTAAAAATTTACAAAAAAAAAGAAGACTTTTCAACAAGCATGCATTAAATGTGCAAACGGAAACCTAGAAAGACATCCAAATAAATTGCACCAATAAGACGGGACGCACAAAGTAATAAACTATTTCGAAACGCAATATATTAAAATAGCTTTCAATTATGTGATATAACAAATCTATTCGTCCCAGAATAAACTATTCGGTTTCCGTACTTTTTTCGCAACGGAGTCCAGTCACTTTTGTGTCGCCAGTCAGTATTTTCAAACTTGAGTATTCGTAACTTTGGTAAGTCGGCCTCGAAGATTGATCTTAGTCCTCCTTTTGTTAATATCTGACAGTTCTTTATGTGTATGCTTATCAATTGATGAAACTTGATTGGTTCAGTTTTTAAATCATCTGAATCGAAGCTAACTTTTTCCAAAACGATTGATTCCAGAAAATTCGACTGCGACTCCAACAATTTAAACACTGATCTCATCTTGGCGCTTACATTTTTTATAGAGATTGCCTTTAGTTGATGCTGAGACTGTATGAGTTTTTGCAAACCATGATGCGATTCTTGTTCAAAGTTGTATTTCTTACCCTTGCGAACTTTGACTGAAATTGATTTTAAATTCTTTGCGGCCCTAGAAAGAGTGTTGCTGAATATGTCATTGTATGAATTTAAATATAAGCTTAAATTTTGTAGATGGGGAAGACTTGTAATAGAAACTAGGAATCGACGACCCTGACTCATAGGATACCAAGCTGGCAATGTGAGCGAAAAAGTTTTAAGATTTGGGCAATATTTAATTGCCAATCGAGTGATTCTGACTTGTATAATATACTTATTGAATTTGTGGTGCGCTGACGTCAAAGCGTAGACCTCTTTGAAACGAATCTCCCTCAAGTAAAGACTGTAATCAAACGGGAACTTTTTGCTATATTTTTTGCGCAATCGCACTGTGGTCTTGAGAGCCTCGATATCAGTAAAACATTCAATGAATGTGGTTATAAGGTTAACTGATTTGCTGGTTCTCCTACTTGGATTTGAATACAACAAGGTGAAAGGTTTAGCCCACAAGTATTGAAGAGCCACCGCACACCAATTTCTGTTAACTAATGTGCAAGAGTAAAGCATAGAGGAATCGTTTGCAAATTCATCAAAAATCATCGCAAGAAGCTCGAAAGGCAGAGAAGCCATGTTTCAAGTGAGACAGAAGCGAATGTCAGGCTTAAATTGATGACGAATATAATTACAATCAACAGCCAATTAATCTCTGCATTTGTCAACAATGATAAGGCGATTGTCCTCTCACGTTCAGACACTTGTCATCGTCTTCTATTGTGGTTGTTCATTAAACATATCAATGAGCTTTTTTGGACATTAATATTAGGTCTGTATCACTTTCGGATTTTTTTTTGATTTGCTCCTATTGGTCTGAATAAGCATGACGCTAAATTTGGTAGGGCTACTGTTATTTTTACTATATCAATCGAGGTAAACACGCCACACCTTGTCACGACGCATCTGCACAGTAACATATCAAGTTAGTACCATATCTTCGCAAACGATTTAAAGTAATTACACACACACGGAATTAAAAGTGCGCTCTTATAATAATAATGCGCATATTGTACTAAACTCGAACAAGCAATCGAATGGGAAAGTCTTTCCGTTTTTGTATTAGCCGTCTTTTTGGAAAACAAGATTGTGTTAATTAATATTAGCCTATTTGCGGTATTCCGTGATAACAAGTGTCATTCTTGCATTCATCCAATTGATATGCGAAACGCGTCAACATACAGAATGAACACGTAGTAATCGAATTGATATTTCGCCTGGGTTCTTGCGGCATGTTTTATTGATAAAGTGTGTTCGTTCAACACTAACGTGGCAAATAATTTGCTGACGAAGCTAGATAGGAACAGGGTGTAAAATCCGATTTACGGTTTCTCAATTAGGCTGAACTAGTGGCAGGCGCTGCCCAACTAAAGTTTATAGTAAAAAGAAAGCGAGCAAGTTCGAAATAAATGAAAACTGTGGACATTAAATTCAGTTTTTACTGCAGTATGCTCTATAATTTGAGATGCAATATTTTATAGGTCAAGGATTGAAGAGTGGAAAGAGGGCTGAAAAATGAGAGAATAATTTATTATTAAAGTTGATCTTTGCGTACGGGGTGCATGTCCGAACCGAATTCTAATTGAGTGTACGTAAGAGTGATATCGACAGCATACGTATCTATTTCTTGATTAGATAATCTCTATAATGTTTGTATGTCCGCTCACTCATTACCCTACTTCACTCTAGATTCGCTTCTTGGATGCAGGAATGGTGAGACAATTGATTCCCAGATACGAACAGAATCTGGATATTACAAGATTAGCCCAATGCGTATAAGCAATCACAGCAAATCCAAAGTAACCCCAAAGGTAATAGTATTCGGCCGTTGGAGTCAAAATAGTGTCACTAATAAATGTCAGGGTGTTCCATTAGTCGTAAAATTCGGTTGGAAATCGTTAACAATGTTAAGTACTCACGTTTTGAGCCATACTGGTATGTTGGTGAGAAGCGCCCCAATGAGTAACGGAATCAGTAATACTGTATACATTGGGAAAGGCATCTTTGTGACATGTGCAAGGATGATTTTTGTAGCAACACGTCCAAATACAACACCGGTGGTTAAGGCAAATAGGATGAAATGTTGATCTCGGAAGATGTACGAGTGAGGAGAAGCAAGCCATAGGTATCCACAGAGAGAGTACAATACGATCGAAAACAGTTGAGGAAGTGTTGCAAGGAATGATGTGGAACGCTGAGAACATGCTTTATATACATGGTATAAACTAGTGGAGAGGAAATTACAAATGCGTCATTGTACAGTCAATTTACAATATCAAAAGTATGTATTCGGTTACCTCGCTGGAGTATGTATAAAAATCATTCCTACTGCCATGAAGAAAACCGTAACGTCAACAAGATGATATCCCTTAGGAATGAATTCGGGCACCCCTTCTCCGAACAATCCTCGTAGATCAGTTAACCATATTCCAGGACCTTTATGAAAAGAGAATAGGCCATCAATGATACGATATCGTACATGCAATAGACCACGAACAGATCACGGATCGTAATCACTCACCAAATATACCGCTCAAGATCATTATAATACAAGCGATCACAAGACCCTCTGTTGGTCCGTTGATGTAACCAAGGTACAAAATACCAGTATGATATTCCTCCCATGTCGATAAATAGAATGGTAAAGTTGTGACGAGCAGTAGGAATGCAGAGTACCAAGAGTGACCGAGTCCCATTGCAGCAGCCTGTACGACGGCCCCAAATGAACAATTCAATGCATCACAACCGTGATCAAAAAGTTCGCCAAGCGGTGAAGAACTCTTGGTCCGACGTGCTTGACGACCGTCCACGTTATCAAATGTCTGGTACAACCAGAGGCCGGCTGCAAAGCTATTATTAGTATCAATGGAGAGAAATGATAATTTGGTTGGTTTGTATACCAATTTCTTTGCATCCGGGGTACTATTCAATTTATTACCGTAAATAGTTCCGGAGTATAGTAACAGACCAAATCATTGATTCACCTGTAATAAAGCCAGGGTGCTCCTGGTCCAACAAGGTCTGGCAAGAAAACCATTACACAAACAAGGTTCACCAGAATAAATCCTAGGCCACATAGAGTGATTAAATTTGGCCTACACGGAGAGAGAAAATTCACCAGAGCCGGGAAACCGATCAGATCCAAGATCTAACGAATATAATCCTTCTGGAAATTGGCGCATCCAATTCCAACAACCTCTTTTGAAGACTTACGCCATCCACATTGGAAATAGCTCAACTGCCCGATCCCAGTACGGCCTCAAGATATATTTCGAGAATGGCGACTTATCGATAGATGCATATTTGTATAGCCGCAGATTTGCCAGACTGCTCTCACTAACATAATCCGAATCTATCAACGAAGACATTCTTATTTTCGTGATGTTTTTTTGGACAGGCAAGGTTGATGTGTGACTTTAGTGACTAGTGTGACATTTGTCGACGTCATCTGACATGCGACTCTCACGCACAAACCGTACACAGTGGACGTCACCAAATAAACTAGTGCACTAAAATAAACCATTGTAGGTAATATATTCCTAAAAAAGATCAATTGTTAGGATCAACCCCCCCCCACGTTTTACTTTTGTTGAATTTTTTAATTTGGACACAAGATTCGAAACATTTAGAACTTGTGCATAACTCCTTGTAACACTTGGTAATAAAAGTTCTTCCACTAACTTTGGCTTTAATATACGAATCACATTACACCTTTCCGTTGCTGGCATGCGAGATGCGGTACAGTTAAAAAAGATCACCCTTGATTCTACCCGATGAGGGAAAACAACTGTACACAGCCTAGGAGTGCTTGATATTGGGTCACAACAGGTGAGGGGTTTGAAAAATAGAAATATAACGAATTTCCACTCATCCTTTTCGAACCCATTTCACTTCCTTGCTGGACACATGGAAGTTTAGACAAACTTAAATAATTTGTATTTGTATATTAAAAGGCCATTATATAGATAGCCCCCCCTTCCCAACCCTTAATATCAAAAGACTTTAATACCGAGACTTTGACAAAATGTTTCGCAGGAATACTCTAAAAAAAAATTCTGATAAACTCAAAAGGACTCTCTCGGATACTTCCAGCAGCATCAGGAGTAGGGGAAGTTTAAAGAGGTCCTTTAGCAACAGTCTCCAACGGGAGAATAGCAAATCATCGAGAAATGAATTTACCATGGAAAAGTTATCCATCGAAATGACACACTTGATCGTAAAGAGATGCAGCGATGAAATACGATTAAGAGGTAGGTTGAATAACTTGGTAAATTATCGTAAAGTATTGGTGAAGATTATACGTCTTGCTAAGCGTGTTTTGTTCTGACTTTTAGGATTGCACGAAGTCGATATCTTTAAACCACAGAATATTGGCGACAGTACAGAAGAGGCCACTTACCTTATTAACTTTCTGTTACGCGATAACCGAATTGACTATGAAACCGAGCTAGCGAGCGCAGATATTCACAATGTTGTTTCGACCCTAAAATGGGCGCTTCGACATTGTGAAGAAATCATTGTGCCTTATCAGTACTACGAAGAATTTGTCAAATTTGACCAAGGTATTATTTTTGTCACACATCATCGATTGCCTTGTCATACGCATATGTTAACCGGCTTGCCATATATGTAGAATACGATTTTGATCCCAACAAAGGCTCATTTACCCAATTTCTCCAGTACATACCATTGCCAAATCGCAATGTTCTCGTTGAAGTATTCCAATTATGTGCTGACGTAACAGCAAACTCAGACATTAACAAGATGTCGGCCCAAAAGATTGTAAAGTGCCTTGCTTTGTGTATTATCCGTGACGATAAACAAGCCTTTGCGAGCTTTGACGATGCCTACAAAGAATATACAAGTTCTGCAAACGCATGCCTCCATCTGTTCCTGGCCTACTTGAGGGAAAGTTCTCTTGAGAAAGAACTTCCGCCCCGTCTTACTATGCTTCTTGATAACTATGACGATATTAGAAAGGTATCAACTGCGCCTATATTTGTTAGCACTGAAGATGATTTCAAGGCTTATCAACAAACAGTGGCATCGAGTTCTAATGAGAGACGTGCAAGCATGCTACGAGTTACGAGATCGGTTCCACGACATACCCCTGGCGAACAAAGAAAGAGTGTCTACGATCTCTTACCACAAATGATGAACAATATCAAACGAGAAACGATTGTAAGTTCAAGTTCTATGATGACAATGGAACAACGTCGCACGGCCGACCATATTTGGGAAGAAGTTCAACGCGATGGTTTTGCAACTTTATCTGACAACTTCAAGACAAGATTTGCTCTCAAAGATGAATATGGAACATTAATTGCCGAGCAGCAGGATGCACTGCAGGGAGATTCAGACGTATTGCAAGAGCTTTTCCAAAACAACAATGGCAACAATATCTTCAATGTGCAAATCACCAAGACATTCGCCGAAGAAGCAGAGGATGAAGATGAAGCTTCTTGGACACCGTTAAAGCGCGCAACTCTCGAACCAAATGCATTCCGTCCCAAAACCTTGGTATGGGATGAATTCAAACAGAATGGATTCCGTAACTCGTTTGATAACATATCTCAGGACCTTAGTTTAAGCGAGACTCTTCTGACGCCCTCGCTTTCGGATAGTTGCGCAGATTTTCTGGATGAAGATAAGATAAAATCCAAGAAACAACTCAGGAAACAGCGAAGACGGTCTACTACAAACATTGATTCCTCAGACTCGGACAAGGACCCATCCAAGGGAGTGGCTACCCTCCGCCGTCGTCGTCCCCAGCCTAAAAATGCAAAGCGTACTAGTTCCTTTGTTTCTCGTGATGTTATTCACGACAAAGACATTCTCGAACGTCTGCAGCTGGAAGAGTGGTGCTTATTAGATCCTCAAAAGGAGATTACTACTCACCTAGCGATCGAGACTATAGACGATATATTTCCTTACATTTGGATGGAAATCACAACTGAATCAACGGACGGTTATTGGGGAGACTGGGTATTCATCGAACCGCGAAAAGATCTCAATTACGAATGTGAATGGATATTGATAGAAGAAAAAGAACAAGTATTTGCTGCGCGCGAAGCCGCAATGGAAGAAAGATTTGCCAAGGCTTTGGACAAGTCTAACAATTGGAATCTCTCATGGTTAAAAAAGAACGGAAGTGTGAGGAGCAGCGAGGGATCTCTTTCGAGACGTAGTGAGACTGAACATTTAGTACGACATACTAAAACACTATCTCGAGGAAATAAGAAACCTAAACAAAAAAGGAGAGATTTGACTAGACAGATAAGCGCTCCGATACCGGTTATTCCCAGAGCTTATGCAGTAGCGCCTTGGGATCAGCAAACACACAATGTCGAACAGGTAGATTCAACGGCAAGGACGTACCAGAATTATATATGAGGATAAACAGTCTTCTTTTTACTGATGTAAGATAAAAAACTTAAAACTATGTATATGCTCTCTTGTGTACTTTATACAATAAACTTTGCTTCGAAGTGAACGAAATAGATAAAAATATTAGAATATAATTTTACAGTGTGCACTGTCTGTATATGCCTATATACTCCCCCCATTCCGCTAACGCTGCCACGGAATAAGGTCATTTTAATTCCATCATATAGTATATTGTGACTAAGTGTGTGATCGGAAAGGCGTCCAGAAGATAGTATCTCGAACCTAACTAGGTTTCGACTGCAGTCGTCGCCTTTTTGAAATGTACACGATCGAATTATTTCCGTAATTAGACGGGTACCAGCATGTACGTGAGCCAGAAGTACGCACAGATTGTCTACAAAGGCTCACGAGAATATCTTAATATACACTACCCTTTTGGACAGAAGCATCATTTAAGGTTTGCGAAAGCAGTAGAATATGGTGTTACAACAGTAAGCCGCTCCATTGTATCTAACACTTATACGTTTTTCCTTCCATTTTAAGGACACAGCTTTGTCAAGTGACGCAGTTACTATTTTTGAAATGTCGCAAAAAAGCTTGGCGTTTCACCATCTAACGCGGATTATATACAGTATATCATTTTCTGTCATTGTCCTAAAACCGCTTATACTTGGCTGTCACAAGTACCTTGGCAGAAATACTGCTTCTTCTCCGGGGGAATACAACTGAAACGGGAACAGGAGGTTCGCAACGTCCTTCATTGAACAATCTTTCATATCAATTTGTGAGACATCTTTAGAAGAAACTCTTCGATGAGTTTCTATAGAGAGAGAGAGAGAGGAGAGAGAGAGAGAGGTAAATCCGTACTGACCGAATTATCATCCATCTCAATATGCTCAATACTAAGGCTGCTGAAGTTGTTTCTGCAAAATAAGATTATCTTGCTCAGCCGACAATCTTTTTGTAGTTACGACTATTTGATTGATTAGTTTTCTCATTATTTTTTTTTATCGTTGACATTATGATTTTTAGACGTAAAATCTGGATAATGAAACCACGAATCAAATTATGGCGAAGGATAATTAAGAATTGAACAATTTCCGTATGCATGCTCAAATTGGCTGGCCTTGGTAGGCTTGTAAATGGTCGAAGTATCCCGACGTATCATGAAGTACAAGAAGTAAACTCGCATTATGTAAATGGTATGACATGATTCTATGACCTAGATCAACAAAGTAACTTCATACGATTCATACGATTCACGGTAATCCTTAGAGGAAAATTCTGATGAGTGCACAATGATAAGGAACAAGCCCGACTTCGGCACTATAGTAGGATAAACTTCGAACTCGTAATGTTTATCTTCATACTAGTAAGCATAGAATGACAACCTCTTGTTAAATTACTTGGTATTAATATGATTCTATTTATATAAATTCGTAGTGTTAATAGTTATCTGGGAGTGAATCTCAAAGACTTCCTCTTATTGAGTTATGAAACTCGTCTGGAGAAGTGTGAGAACGACATTCGCGAGACGTGCAGTGACGATTAGGTAACAGATATTATTATGTAGGACTATGTTGTAGATGCAGCGGGGATGATGTAAACCTTCAAACACAGCATAGCCAGCAGAAGATAAATTAACGACTTACAGCCCACATAAATAAAATAGAATGTTAACTTATTAAATAACAATAAAAATGAGTAAAGCTGATAGTAATAGTAATCGTTATTACAGGTGCAAGACATAATCATGTCTCACAGGTAATATACAACGAGTATTTGAATGATGTACATATTCAGGAGTTTGTGAGATATTAGGTAATAGGAAAAAACTATTTGCGCTTAATAATAATGGCCAGTTCGATCGGCATGTCCCATCATAATCACACCAATATGACTAATACTAATACCAATATAGAAATTAACAATTAATTAAAACGAGATCGTGTTTTGGGTTTGGATTATGCCACGAGTAAAGATTTGTAAATTTCCTGCTTGATACACAATATATTAGCATCCGCATGTGGCTGCGGTCAGTATACTGTCTAACTATCCAATCAATTTTAATAAATCCCATAAACTGCGTCTTCCCCCTCATTTCGTATAAATACTAC